AATAATACTTCTAACCAAAACCTAGCTACAAAATGAATGACCAAGATGAAGTCCTTGAAGTCAAAGTTTGGAAAAGGTCATTGTAGCACTACACTTATCAAAGAAGGCAGCTTTTTGTCGTCATCTTCTTGCAGAAGTTCCATACCTTCTCAGTGAATTCTCATGTGCTGCTCCTCATAGCACTGACGACTTCTTCACAGCACAGCTAACAAACTCCATCTCTCTTCACAGCACAACCAACAAACTGCAAACCTCTCCTCACCCAGCTAACCCACTCTTTTGTAGCACTCACCATTATTGGACACAGCTGTGGCCTGTTAAGGGCAGGCCTGTTCCTAATCTTTGGTGATTAGCACAGCAGCAACTCCTCAGGTGTGAGATTGCCTTCTGCACTATCTTTAATTTCTTTCATTCTATCCCTCCACAGTTCTTGTTGATTACCTTTGGGAAAATAACACTTAATATTCGAGATATGGGGCATGTAAAACAAGTGCTAAACATAGGGATATCCTAGTCTAACCATTTTAATTTTTTGCTTGGAAATAACTGAGTCTTGTAAAATACGAAACTCTGGCTAAGGTAAACCTTTCACGATCCTATATCAATGCAAATACTGATTGATATTTCACTGACAGCAGTGCTATCTTCCATAAAAGACATCTCTGATTAAAACAGAGCACCAGATCATAGTTAGAAGAGGATAATTTAAAGTAGGCTGATTTTGCTTCTAATTAAATAACATCTGGTGTAATTCTTTACCTTGTGGCATTGTTCTTTGTAGACCTTGATGCTCATCTGTCCAGTGGACTGCTGCCATGGCTAGCAGTCCTGGCACCAGTGTACACAGACTTGTTCAAAGCCTGCAGAAAGGCTAGATAACAACAATCCACCCATCTGGATTGTCAACACCAAAGAAGCTGACATCTGCCAGAGTAATTTGGCTGACTCCAACAGGCCCTCATTTATGGGAATTACCAGGCATGCTGGCATAGAGCGACATGGTATGTCCAGAAACTTAGTTGATTTCTCCTGGACAGCTTCCATCAGAATCTCCAGTATGACTGCCATTCTGTGCAGGAACTCTTGAGAGCTTTTATAAGTATCTGGCTGTACTTTTGAGTATCAGTGGTAGCACAGTCTCTTCTGCAGACAAAGGTAATACACAGTAGAAACTGTATGATTAACAGCCTGCAATTCCTCTTCCTCAGAGCCTGCGAGACAGATGTTTCAATCATACACAAAGTTCACATACTTGGGATGAAAAAGACATGACTGGAATTGATATAACAGAAGCAGGTACAATTTGGTTAGATTGTTAGCATAGATAATAAAGAAAATACGTTCAAGGATACGAGAGTCACTAAATCATAACGTGACTCCCAGTCCTTGGATAACAACCACAAGCATTGCAACAATTAAGGGAACACACATACTGTCCCATTGTCCTCACCATTGTGCTAATGCCATATGAATGGCAGGAGTAGCATCAAACAATGGTTTCGCTTGGAAAGGACCTCAAAGATTACCTGGTTCCAACCCCTTGTTGCTAGAGTAAACAGTAAAGAGCCAAAATCACAGACTGGTAGGGCACACCAGAGAGAGAATACCTGGTGGGTCCTTGTAGGTTTTAAATTTTACTTCATAATAACAGAATTAAAAAATAACTGATTCTTTTTGCAGAATTCATGAGGAGAAACCCAGACCCACACCTTAGGTATGTGGCCCAGCTTACCATGTGAAAATAGAGCACTTCTGTGTGTAAACACCTCTGACTTCTGTGTTTATTTAAGGAATATCTCACAAAATAGCATATCTCAAAAATGTACCTGACATCCAAAACAGTATAAAAATATTTCATGGACTCATAATGCAGCATTATTATTCCATAACTACCAAGATTCCAAACAACTGATGTTTATACTCTGTCATAAGAAAAAAGCATTAGTAGAAAAAATTCAGATGAAAATGCAATTGTGTTTAAATGAGACTGAAATGTAAAAATAAAAATAAACAAAAACAAAGAACTATACTTAAACAAAAAATTTGACATTTTTGGTAAAAAAAAAAAACCCAGGTGAAAACCAGTAAATGATTTTGATTTTGATGAAGTGCCAATTTACTGAACAATTGCTCTGCTAAAAAGAAATAGAGTAGAGTTGGATTCATTCCGCTTTCTACATGAGAGCTGCATCTTATCACACAAACTGACTCAGAGGATCCAGCTCAGTAAGAGAACCTGGACTGACATGTATAGGACACAGCTACATCAATAGGATTCATGGATAATAGGAACAACATTGATAGCAGCATTCATTTACCTTACCCAGACCCCTTTCAGATAATAGCAAAGAGAAGAACTGCTGCTCTGCTCCTCTGAAACACCAGCTGTGGTCAGTCTTACCATCACTGTGTACCAGCAAGAGCATTCACTGCTCTTTAAGGGGCTTAATCCAACAATGGTTCCTGCACCATTGGTAAAGAGCTGACAATAATCAACATTCCTAAAAAAGTTTTCCTGCCTTCATGTCAGTTATGCAAAATAAATTACTCCCCTCAGCACTATCAAAACCATATGAACAGTAATGGTGAAGTGTAGAAATTACAGGAATTTTAGCAGGCTTGCACTGGATAGCCAGCTTCAAAGCCTCTCACAGACATCCTGTGCTCAAATGAAGCTCAAAATTGCAGTTGCACCTCCTGCTTTTTCCTGTATTTTTTTCTTGGCTGAAATCCTCTCATATGCCTGCAAAGCAAAGGGGCCCAGTCTTTTTTATCCTCTTTATTGTCCTCATAAGGAAGTTCCTGCTGTTGGTTACAGAATAATTGAGTGTGCCTTGTTTTTACATGAAAACAGAATATTTCACTATCACCACTGGTTTTTTCTTAATTAAGAAACTACTATGGCTTGAGCAATCTCCCTCTTTTCCTCTTTCCACTTCATTGATTAATTGGGCACCCTTAATAGACTTACACATGGATTGCTTTGCAAAAGGTTCTTGAGAAGAAGAAACTTAGGGAGGCAGGGATATATTTCGGGGGGGTTAATTTGTTTTTAAACAGTGAATCAGTTAATTCTAAATGTAGTTTATTGGCAAATCTTTCCTACAAGAACAGACCATTTTATATAATAGAAATAATTCTAAAAAAGGCCAGACACAGTGACCAATATGTTTATCCCTAACTTTGCTAGAAGAAACTATGCATAAATTGTTCTCTGCTGATGCTGCACAACTCCTTAAGAAATACTCACATTTTTATGTACTTGCTTCAAATGAAATTCAGAAATGCCTTTCAAAACAAGCAACAGAAAATATTTTTAAAGTCTCTCCAACTGTGAAATTAATTTGTAACGCAAACAAATGTAACATTTCATTCTATAAATACACAGACTGGAATTCAACAGAGGGCTGAAATGGATACCTCGGATCTTGGGCAGAAATTTGGTAAAAATAATTTAGTTTGTGGGGTTTCACCCCCACCCTTTTCTTGTACATTCTCCTGACACATTTATAGAAGATGACTTTTAGGTTCTCCAAATATTTAGAGCTGTGCTACTGCACAAGTCCAGAGCTGATCTCTCATTGCAGCATTGTGCCTATTTCATGCTAAATCAATTCACTGATTCCAGGTGACTACCAATTCAGCAGGAGGAACAACAAAACAGTGCTAAGCAAGAGTCTTAATTTCCTACAGTCAATAATGAAGTGTGCTAATTACCTCTTATCTGCCCTGTGAACTGCTGACACGCTCTGTCCATTTTTAGCACAGAGAATCTCCACTTTAACACCTGCTTGTTTGGTTTGGTGGGAAGGGTTTGGAACTAAAACACTGAGGTATTTAGATAGAACACACAAGAAGGGATTAGTATTTCCACAAATCAGACTAAAATACAGCTGTTTGTATAAAATGTGCAAGATCCAAACTAAAAATAAAACAAAAAAATCACCTTTTAAAATCAGAAGTAGTAAGCCACTGGGCAAATTAACATTGACCAATTGGTTTTGTGCTATTTTAAGATTGACTAAAATGATTTATTAAGGTGACTTAAATAGTATCTCCTGTATTGTGAAGTTTTTCAATTCTGATAATAGAAAATAATTGAATTTATACAATACATACTGCTGCATTTATTCTTCACTCAATAGGATTAGGAAATAGGAATTGAGCACTTGTACACAGCAATTACAGCAGTTACAAGACCAAATGAAACTACTCCAATTGTTTTGTAACCCATTCCTAGAATTCAAAATGAGTACAGAGAAAGTCCAGATATGTTATCATCTAGATTTTATTTACTTATATATACACCACATGAGATTTCTGATGTTAAGAGTTCATATTTTGTTGTAACAAAGTAGAAGCAAGAAGAATTTCTCAAAGTAATGGTTATTGTTCTGAAAGCACTACTGGGTTAATAATACTATTTATAACTTTAAGTCAAAATAATGGCAAAACACAAAACGATGCATTAAAACATTTTAGATTTTTACTAAAATTCTAGTTGCAGGAGGAATAAATAAAAATGTAGATGTCAGAGTGCTAGGATTTCCAAGGCATTATGAAGAGCTGTACACAACACACGCATTGCACATCTGCAGGTGTACAAATGTTTTCTGCTTGTTCAGAGCAGTTGATAAGTCATTGAATCTACAGACACGTGCTCTGCATTTCTTGGCAGCCTAGTTAGAAGCTTCTACTCATTATCACTCACAATCACCTTGGATCTTCAACAAACCTTAAAAATTATCAACTACTTCAAGAAGCAGTAGAAGATCCTGGGGCAAGTACCATAATTTTGCCCCGACAAACATATTCCTTCACTGACATCAGCTTGTGTCTCATAGTAGAAAACTAGCCAGATGCTGTAGACAGACAAACTGAATGATCCAGGTCAGCTGTGTTTTGTATTAAATGATAGAAGCATTAAAAAGTGAGCCTTGTGTGAGAAGCTGCACACCTGGGGGTGCCAGAGCTCCAGAGAAGCAGAAGCTCCTGCCCCCTACTCCAATTACTGGGTTGATAGCTTGTTTTCCAACTCTTAGACCAACATATGAAAAAGAACAGCTTTCTGCCACCACAGCTCCAGAGCACTCCTGTTCTGTCGAGGCTGAGCTAAATGAAAAGTACCTGCAAGAGAGCATATATGGCTTTTGCTTTATTAATTGAACAAAACTGTACAAATACTTAATGTGAGGGAAAAATAAAAATTATTGGATGATATGTATTAAACCCTGTACAATCAACTCTCAAATTTGTCTCCTCTGTAGACAGGCAGTTAAAGTCAAAGGAAAGAAAACACTTCATTAGCCAAAGGCAAGTACAGGCTCTACAGCAAGGAAATGAAAATAATGAGAAGCAACAATTCTGTTTTTGAGAGATGCTTTGCCCAGAAATGCACTTTTCTCATTTGGAGAAAGAGAGGACACCAAAAATGCTTTAGTCAAAATCTGCTTAGTCCAGCATGACATATTTTCCCATGAAATGTCTTATCAAGAAGTTACTTTGGCAAGGCAGGTGGTTTTCCAGGAAGTTCAGCAGGGAACAGGGGCCAATTTCCTGGAGCTTGGCCTTGAATAGCAGCATGGTCCCCTGCACTAAGCTAAAGGATGAAACATGAAGCACTAGCTAAGAGGCACACGGCCAATGGATGTGTGGTTTCTGTCACCAACACTAACAGATTAGCTAAATTTCAGCCGGCCCTATTTGCTTTCCAGATAAGGCAGAAAACCCCAAGCCAAACAAAAACAGCCAACAATAACAACAAAAATCAGCCCCACACAACAACAATGCAACAGTAGTGTGCAGAAATGCTTATATTTTCTTCCACAAGGTAAAAAATACATTTCAAAGAAATTTTAAATGAAAAACAGAAGTTTTCTTTCTACATTCTTAGCATATTTGACTATGTTATATTTGTAGCAGAGAAAGGTCCACTTTCAGTAAGAAAACACAAACATAGTTAATTAGGTACTAACAAATATTTCTAGCCATTAGCTCTTTGGTATAATGCAACCTGACATAACAGACATCAGAACACAAATTAATTACTTCAGATTTAACATGGTAGCAGTCTAAGACATTCTCAACTTTCCAGAATTTCAGCTCTTTTGTGAATCCAGATTCACAACTGTGATGCATCACACCGCAATCCCTCTTATGTAGATTAGTTACTCTTCTTAAATTGCCTTAACCAGAGGTAAGGCTTTATAAACAACTCAAATGGACATCACTTTTCCTGTGAACTTTGCTGTGTTGATCCACCAAAAGAAACTAATCTCTTCTAAAAACATACAAAGAAACAAATTAGGTATGACAAAGAAATGTTTTAGTGCTAAACAGATGGGATTAGAAGGATTATAGAAAAGGTTACTCCTTGATATGAGTCATTTTAAAAGCATGAACTCATCAGCCTTTGAAGTAGTTTCCATTCAACCTGTAAAATATATAAAGTGTGCCATTCCAGAAATGGAAAACACAATTATTTACCACTGGAAAAGATTTCTTAGAATTTGAGAAGTGCCAAACCTTTATGCAAGCATTAAATGACTAAAAAATGTGCATCTCATCATATCTCCTAATTCTTTCCTTTCTCTCTCTTTTTTCTCAAGGTTGTCTGCTCTCAGTTTCAAAGTCTCTGCAAGAGGTAGAAGATGAAGATATGTTGCTTGCTGCATTAAATCTAGGAAAAACTCTACAAAATGGAGATAAAAGTATGAACAGAGGAGTTATACCTTTGCTGAAGTACTACAAGACTGAAGACAGCAGTGTTTTCAATGATAAGAATGCTGGAAACACAAAGTCTTTGGTGAGTTTTCAGTTTTAAATTTTGGCTTAATTGTAAAATTGAAATTCATTTATATCCCTTTAGAAAACAAGTGCAACACTTTAAAGCAATAACCAGGTAAATATATAAAAACACCAGTTCAACATAACATAGTCAAGAAAGAAAATACAACTCTATATATCTAATGCCAAGATTCTAAATGTGTAACTTGGAGAGTTGAATTAAATCTGATTTTCACAGACAGTAGCCAAAACTTGGAGGATGGGGGTTGGGGTGAGGGGGATGAGAAGAAACCTATATTTATATTTGATGATGTCCCTATATGTAGCAACAGGTTTTTAACTTTGCCAAGCATGGAACTCATTTAATTATGTCCATTACACCATTTTGGCCAAGGATGCAATACAGGTCATAACTATTAAGGTATGATTTTGAAACATAAAATAATTGCACTGTTGGAATACAAAGAACAAAATGTGATACAACTGACTTTAAATTAAGATAAACCTCTTGTCTTCCCACAAAACAGGACAGAGGTTCCAGGCATGATTTCTTCAATCATGTTATGCCAATCAACTTAGGTGGAAAGCAACTACCTTATCCTGCACTGAAGGGAGCCATGACTTTTCCAGCTGACACTGAAATTCAAAATATTGAGTCAATACAGGAAAGAGAGACCACAGATGAAGAAAATTCAGCTAAATTACCTATTGGAAGAAGAGATTTTGACAGTAAATATATTTTATTTTTGCACAGAAAATTATTTCATTTTGGTAAAGTACACTGCAATGTCAATATAGCAATTTGTTAAATGTTCATTTAGAGACTACATGACTGTTATGATTTGGTGCACAGGGGAGGGAGCATTTGTTAAATTAATATTTCCAGAAGCCATAAGAATTCTGGTTCTTTGATGATTTAAATTTTCAAGCTCTTTTTCTCTCCTGCAGTCCTCAGGTGTATGCTGGGAAGAGTCTATCGACCTTGTTGGCAAGTGTGAAAACTACTTATCTCCACCACCTTCTCTGAAGATTAAACATTTTATTCTGAATTTAATGTAATTTGAAGTTACTGAGTGTTAGTGTAACTGTACATACACATCCAAACTTAATTTCCCATTGCATTGTAGAGGAATACATAATTCATTACCAAAAATAACAGTGTAATTATTAACAATGTACTGTTATTAAAAAATAAAATACTTCAGCATAATCCAGACTTGTAAGTAACTGTCTACTATAATACACAAGCTACTTTCAATTATTTACATCTGAAAGGAAGTAATTCATAAATTTAATCTCTTTTCTTGCAAAATTTTACAACTATCAAGACCCCATGTATGTGAAAACAAAAACTTAGAGCTGAAAAAAGCGAGTTAATTTTGCCTGACCAGCAATCAACTTATTCTTACTTGCACTTTTGGTCTGTTTTCTTTTTCCACCAATTTTGCTGTCCAATTCCTTCTTAGAGCTGCTTGAAGTCTTAAGTCTTTTAGTATTTTTTTGCAAAGATGGTTCACTTTCCTTGTCACAGATTATTTTGTCATTATTCAAATCCATCTGTTCATTCTCAGAGTTCTTGTTCCTTGGCTGACAACTCAGCTTTCCCATCTCTGTATAACTTCTAGTCTGGTGAACACTTTCAGAAATAGTTCCAAGCCCTGGTACATCAAGACAGGAATTTGGACCTTCTGTCATGTAAGAATATCAAAAACATATGTGAGGAAATAAAAAGTTACCTGGGAACACACATCCTTTTTCTATAAGGACTGCCATGTTATTTTTTTTTAATCAAAAATAATGTATTACCAATAAAACAAAGCTATGCTTGTCGCTGCTATTAAATCTGCTATGTGCTCATAAGTGCATTGCCAATTTAAAATTACATTGCTCAAAAACATGTAAGAACTAACTTAGGGAAGTGGATTTATAACTTTAAGATATTGGAAGAGAGGGTTAAAGGGCATAAAAATTTTATATATTATAAAGTTTGTACTGCAGTAAAACAAATTTCCCCCCCTTTTAATGGCAAAAATATAAATTGCACATGGCTTACTTTTGTAGAATAAGAACAGATATGTCATATATGCAACATATATCACATTTTTACTGCAAGATAGCATCAACACACTTTTCAAACATTTATATTTTCAAAGAATTGGCACTACAATTTTATTGCAAAAAGATTTAACTGGCACATGAAACATGGAGAACAATGAGACATTTTTGTTCCTTTTCTTGAAAATATTTGAGTTATACTAAAGGCTTTTTGGATAGCATTTAAAGTATTACCCATCACATTTATTCATTCAATCCTACCACAGCTTACCTGTGGGCTTTCCAGCTTTTAAATGTTGCTTTGGTATGGGATGTTTGCAGGTTGGAATTGCATGGGAATGCTGGCCACTCATTTCACTCAAATCATTTTTATATGTACAGGCAAACTGGGATTTAATTGAAGATTGCTTCATCTGCAAATACCAATCTGCTATTAGCTTCTATATTTTAAAAAAGTGAAAGACAACACCAGCAAGACTTGTATAATAATGAGCTTTACCATTCTTTTCACATAAAATACCAGAAAAATGGATACGTTCACATTAAAAAGGAAAATAAGATATTAATTTACAAAGCATAAGGGCTTTCAAGAATAATCATTTATTATTCTATTAAAAGTACTAAAATAATTCCAAACTATGTTTTCAGCTCATTCAGAAAGGTATACATTAACTCTTAGATCTTCAAACTAAGCCACTTCACCATTGAATGCCAATGTCTAACTCCTCATTTGCCAAAACATGCCCATTTAGTTCAAGTCCCAGGTAAAATTTCCTCAGCTTATTCTTAAGTTACAGCTCCACATCAGCTAAGAATTTTGGGTCAAGCATTGTACTTTCTGTACAATTGACCATAAATGGTATAGGTTCTGCAAGAAAAATTCTACCCTCACTTCCATTTGAAAGTCCACTGGATTATATAGATTATATTGAAAAACATAGCACAGAGCAGATAACTACAGTACAATTGGATTTTTAGCTAATAATTGCATCACAACAGCACAGGCAAATTTAAATTCATTTGAGCTGAACAAGTGCTTCAGTAAAAGCATCAGAGAAAAGAACAAGTAATAAGCACTGTTACAAAATAAATATTACTACATAAATAGATAGCAGGAGTGATTTGTTGAATAAGAGGTTTACAGACAATTTTCTGATTAAAAGGTTTGCATTATGCAAGTCTACTTTTCTTCTTAGCACAAGCAAGATTAAACCTGCAGTTCAGATTTGACCCTTAGAGATACACTTTTCTTCTAATTTAAATTCTCAGATTTAGACAGAAAGAAAGATAATAATGTTGCCAGAAACATCCTTTCCCAGAGGAAGTCATCCACAAAATTCAGTCGCAATTGATGCCACTTTGATCAGATCCTGCTTTCCTACATATAGGGTAACAGACTGGAGATTATCACTGAGAAGCAACCTAGATATCTACTCATGGTACTGCTATTGGCCAAGTGAATACACTGAGTATTTGGAAAAAAAAAAAAAACACATTCATTTAAAGAAACAGTTGTTCTTTCTGGTTCAATAAGGCTGGACATAGATAGTTTTAATTTAGTCCTCAGTATTCCCTTCAAGAGTCAAAAACAACAAGTCTTCTCTGCTGACTATCACTGCAATTTGTTTGGGCCACATAACAGACTGGGAAAGAAAAGGAGATTTAACAGGGCAAGCTAGCAAGCCTGACTCTCAAAAACTCAGATCTCTTTCTAGAGTTAATCTTCTTTGTATTTTAAAATATTTACCACAAAATAAGACTACATACAGAGATATTTACAAGGTTCATATGCTTCAAGATTATGCCTCAGCTCACTGACTGTAAGTAGAATTATAGAATATGCTGAGTTGGGAGGGACCCACAACAACCATCAAGTCCAGCTCCTGGCCCTGCACAGGACACCCCAAGAATGACACTACGTGCCAGAGAGCATTGTCCAAACACTTGAATTCTGTCAGGCTTGGTAGTGCAACCATTACCCTAGTGAGCCTGTTCCAGTGCCCAATCAACATTCAGGTGAACATCTTTTTCCTGATATCCAACCTAAGCCCCTCAAAAAGCTTCAAGGCATTCCCTTGTGTCCTATTGCTGGCCACTTGAGAGTAGAGATCAGTCTGCACCTCCTCTTCCTCTTGTGAGGAAGCTCTAGACTGTATATGTCATTATTTTCTTTTCAGAAAGTGTTTTGAAGGATAGAGCAGCTGTCTAATTTAAATTTAGTGACCATCATATTGTACAATTACAATATTAAGGAGATACAGGACTTGCATTTCTTCTCAGATCCAGGTTACTGTAATATTAATGAAAAATATTTTCCAGTACTTGTATGTTTTTGAAAAAACTTCATCATAGCCCTTTACAAATTCCTCAATTCTGAATTACTGTTAAGTAAATGACACACATAAAAATTATACAACTTGAATGGCTTTCTATCACATTCATATTGCAAGAAGCAAATAAACTACAATTTTGCAAAGTTGATTAATCTATAATAAATACAGCATGAAGAACATAAAATTTGAGCAAGAAAGTCTGACAGTTACCATTCTATAACCAGCAATTTTTTTTTAAAAACAGCATTTCTTTTTACCACGCCCATCTCTCACTTCACTAATTCAGTTTGTAGGGATAAAATATGTGGAGTCAACAGACAGAAGTCAAGCTCAAACACTGGAAAACTCACAACATAAACCCATCTGTGTTTCAACTTCACTGAAGCTTGAAATATGTCTATTGCATCACATACCAGTCAGGCATTTGCAAACAGGACACACAAAGCTCTACCAAATCAGACTGGATGCTAGAACTAATCCAGAGGGTGCATATAGAGTGTAAGACACCTTTGTTGAAGTAGTCAAACTTCTCAAATAGTCTAGGAACATATATTCACTAGTATAAAGAACTGTGCTACAGTTCCATACTGTATTACATTGGTTGAAGTAGCAATAAGCACGTTTTAACAGCCTGAAGGCAGCAGAAAGGAGCACAAGTCTAGCATTGAATTACCAAGTAGAGCTTCCCTGGAATGTTTTTAAGAAGAAAGATCAACCTAAAATTTACTTGAAGCACACAATGAAACCTATCAACAGCTTGAAAAAGCTCACAGAAAAAAAGCTCTTAGAGTTCTTGTATATTAAATTCCCTAAAACTCACTACTTTAAGAGCACCACTCCAACGACCCACAGCTCTGGGAGAGAAAAAATGTTGGGAGATCAGTTTGCTGCACACAAATGGCACACAATAAACTCAGCCTTACTATTCCTTCTCCTCTTCACAAGCAAGTCAGATGTTGCTCTTATCCCCATAAAAAGAAAAGTTCTGCTGCATTTCAGAAAAAAAGGTTCACTGTTACCCTTCTTCAGCTGGGAGAAAGAAGAATAGAATTTACAACTGTTTCAGCACAGGTAGGCCAATTAGAAATCCTAATAAGCAGATAAAGCAGTACATTCTCCCACCTTAACATCTGTATCTAGAGAAAGCTTTCAGTTGTTCAAGATGCCCATATAAAACATTTGCTTTTATGTGAAATATTAATGGTGAATGCTCTATTTATTTCTAAAAGTTAGATTATAATCTGTTCCAGATCTCCTTCCAGCATCTGCATACAGACAGTACTGCCAATATTTAGTCACTAAGAATGTTGAGATTTGGTTTTTATGCACTGGAACGGCATAATAGAATTTGAAAACCTACATCAGTAACAACAAACACATGTTTTTATTTTCTAGCCAAACAACTAGAGTACTATTTGGAAGGGAAAAAGAGATAAAAAGAAAATTTATTTTCTCCATCCTTACCCTTGTCCTTTGAGAAAAAGATATTCAAGGTAACTTGAAAGAGGAAGTTGAAAAAGGGAAAGGAGTAAAAAAGGACAAGTAACAAAATAATAAATTATATCTTTGCCAAACAAAGGTATATTACTAAAAAATATCCTGGATATCTCAGGTAGTAGAAAGCTTTTATTGTTCTGCAACAATCTATTTTTTTTAGCACAATATTGTACCAGCCTTTTGCTATCCCAAAATAACCTGCTACTGTTTTGAGAACATAACCCCAAATCACCTAATTATTGGCTTTCAAACAAAACTCACAGCTATGGATACTAAACAAAGTAGTTTAGGGGTCTTGTAGAAATGAAAGTGGTATTTTCTACACAAATGTGGTTTATCAACTGACACCATTCTTTCCTCAGATTTTGTGCTGAACATGTAACCTTTTCATTCTATTTACTTCCCTCCTCTACTAAACTACCAATCAACTTTGCTGTTCTCCATAATTATATTGCATTTAGGAAACAAACATTTCTTGCAACAATAGATGAGACTACTACGTGAAGATTGTTTTCTCTATTACTATGACTCTTCTGCTCACAATTACAGTGGGCATACAGGAAAACTCTTGATAACTTCCTGTTAATAGTTTTCCAAGTCACAGTTTATTTGTACTGGAATCACAAATAGGCAAAACAATTCTCTCAAGTAACAGCATTTAGAGAACTAAGCTATGAAAAATAACAGCAGTGCATGAAGCTAGATATTAAGTCATTTTATAGAGACATGAAAAAGTCACACGAGAAAAGCAAACCAAGATTTTTGCTTTTTTCTTGGAAGGATTTCTGTACACAGTAAAATTACAATGAACTTCAAGCATGCCAAGATTTGTTAGAGTTCTTAAGCCACAAATTCTTCTTAAAACTAGATCTGCAGCTATGTTCCCAACTGGAGGGAAATAGTGCCTCATATAGGAAAGGTTGTCTCCGGTTACATTAAGAAAAAAACCACACCAAACTACTGAAAGTCCTTGCAGCTGTTTCAGGCTAAGTCTGCTAACAGTGCAGCAGGCTTTCTAAAACAATATATCAAAAGGCCAAAACAATCTTAACTTTGCAAAAAAAGATCTGTTACACTCTCATATATTGCATGCTTACAGCCTAATAACTTTGATTCTTCAGTTTTTAGTTCTGAAGTTCTCAGTTCCACTCAATCCCATTAGTTCAGGAACAGATTTCACCTACAACTTGAAGATCTCAATATTTTGCAGTGCAGAACACAAACAAAAATCTTATTATGCAACTTTTTTTGTCCTAAATTGCTCCTCAGGCTAAACAAAGCAGGTTATTGTAACAGCCTGTTCATTCCCCTCTCACACCACTAAGCAGAGCTTTAATAACCCATAGAAATCTACAAAATAACTAGTCACTTACAGGGTTTCTACTCATTTCACATAAACAGAAATATGAGTCAAAAAAGCAGACATAAGGCTGGATGAATCCTTTTCAGATAAAACAATTCTCTCCTGTCCAATTAGGCTGCTTATGTATTTCAGTAAAGCAGACAAGTGACATAACAAGGACAGCTGACAAGAGACATAACTCAATACATGTTCCACAGACCTTTCTGAATTAGAGACTCCTTCTACAAAACACCTTTCACCAGTGACACTTCACTGAAACAACAGATAAACTAGAAACTAAATTGGCTCCCAAAGGAAAAACCAAGTTTCATATTCTTATTCTTACCTACTTCTGCTAGAGGAAATGAAACAATGCAACATGCTTGTTCCCCAGACTTCCTTCTCATCAAGCAATAAGAGCAACAGCTTTGCTTCCGAACAAATGCCAATACAGTTGGGTGATATTTCTGTGTTTCTTCCAGTATTTAATGAGGATTGAAAGACGAAAAATATTTCTTTGTCATTCACTGTTGCCAGGAATTTGTTTTGGCACAATGGAAACATCCACAAGATTTATTTTATTTCTGAACACCATTTCCAGTTCATAGCTACCTGTTTATTTTATCCACTCTTCTTATTTTTAGATACTAAAACACATAGTGATGATGTGCCCTAGGTCTAAATATTATCAGTCTGCATTCCTCTATATAATTCCACAGAAGTTGAGAACTCAGATCCTCTTAAGAAAAGAGGAGAAAACAACTTTTTATCTCTTGCTTCTTTAAAATTTTATTTTTAATTAAGGTGTTTCTCTTTTTTCTTTCTTCATTTAGATATAGGGACTGAGCAAACAACCAAACTAAACACCACTACTCTGTTTTTCTTCCCTTCTCAAATGTCATGGAAAAGGTAACTTTTATGGGATAAGTCCTAATGAGACATCCTAAACTTATAATGTAGACTAACCACCTAACACCCATCAGAGGCAGCATGGTAAAAAGGCACTTAAGACAGTCTTTTGGAACTAAAGTTACTATCACATACATGGCAAAAGAAACCTCTCTGAAGGATCACAGATATTGAGAAGAAACATTGTATTGCTACTCCCTTACTTAAAAAAAAATCTAGTATCTCCTGAATCAATTACTAGCACTATGCATAACAAAATTTGTAACTGTGAATTTTACAAGCAACCTGTACACATTTCAAGATGTTTGCATGGAATAATAACAGAGACTGACACCCAGTGTAAGATGGTAAATATTACTACAGCACCTGAGATCTACAGCTTTTGAGAAGGAATTCTCTCTGCTATGTGCTCTACAGAAAGGACAGAGTAAAATTTACTTCTACCAAGAGACATTACAATCCTAGACAAGAAATATATGGATTCACAGCAAAAGGAACTGAAATTAGTCACTGTAATGGGCATTTATCTCAACAAAAAGCATGACTAAGATGTGGGGAGAGGTTGATTTAAAGTTACTGAAAGAGGTTTGAAAGGAGTATAATGAGTTCTGCAGATATCTATAGGAAATCCCTTCAGCATTAAGCAACAGTATAAAAGTTAAAAGGGTTCAGCTGAAAATTAACAAATGAACAACAAAGACTGGTACTGCAGGCTGAATGTAAGCAAGGGCAGACCAAAGCAAGAAACCAAATAATGAATGGATTCATACAGCTTATATGTACCACAATTTAAAGGAACAGACTGAGATGGAAACAATAGGATGGCATCTAGTGTCTAATCACTTTGATAACAATCTTTTGAACAGTAATCTCAGTGAAGAAACGTGGGCTAAAGTTGCAACTATCAAGGCCAAGAAAAACATACAGCAGCACATCAAAAAGTAAAACCAACACCTAGTGAATTACACTTGAGTAGATATAGAAAAAAATATTCCAGAAATGCCATGGAATGAAAATAAAGCATGTAGAATATTTTCTTCAGTATTACACAAATACACCAGGAAAGACAGACCTACCACCTCAAGATCAAGAGCTGGGCATCCACAGGATAGTGTAGAATTAACAGAAGACAGCAATTTTGGCAAGAGGGACACTTAGGTCACTCAATCTGCGAATTGGTGACAGTTGAAGTTTTGTTTGTAGATGTATGCAGCCACAAAGAAGGTACAGAAAGAGAAAAGAAGAGAAAGATATGGACTTAGAATATGGAGAAGTAGAAACATGCAAAAGAAACTGCAGAAGTTGTTAGAGACGTAGAGAGAAAAAAATAAAACGAAATATCAACATTTTAAGAAAGAAGTAGGATTTGATATGAGAGGGTGGAAATCAAAATGGATGGCAGAGAAGTGAGTCTTAGTTATAAAAGTCATTAGTTGATCAGCAACAACCATTTTAGTTGACTCATTTTTGCTTGTTTCTGCTAAAAACATGTCAAACCAGCAAATGTCTCAAATGTGACAGGTAATTACTTTTAGATAATAATTTTTGCACTTTGATATTGAACACAACTGTTCATGTATCCAATTACAAAGGTTTCATTAGGATAAGAGAATTAAGTATTTCAACATTTTATACAAACATCATTATATTTTTTCTATTTGATGAGTACAGCTGCAATTTAAATATGTTGTTTACATAAAATAAAGATACTTTATCAATTTTTCATAATTTGCCTATAAGTTTTAAACTAAATTTCGCCCTAATTAGTGCATGTATCCAAAATGCTTGTCCTTGATCCAATACACAAAAAAGGACTCAGTATGAAGTCAGAGCATATTTAAAATGCATGCTGAAAATACTGACAGTGCTTTTCATTTTGATGTCTTTCTACTTCTTAGACATGTACTATGTGTTCAAGTTTATCTAATGTCCAGTGAAAGATATTTTTCCATTGTGATGTTCTAAAACCAGTACTGATGGCTTAGAATACCTATTCCTAACATGCTAATTAGATTTGTGTTTTTACATATTGTCAGGACTAAATCTGTAAAAATATTATGCCACTACTTTTATTTAGCTTTCTGTTGAAATACTGCAGAAGACAACCTCTACCTCCATCCATAGTCCCAACACTCAAGTTTGCCAACTTTAAGGAAAAAGACTTTGTAAAATGCAGTGCACTGAAAGACAGCAATTTTCAGAAACACTGTTCTTTTGAATAGAACCCCTCACAATACTAATGTGCTCTTGTAAAGTTCCTTTTCATCTACAAAAGCAAACATTAGCAGCTTTATTTTACTGTTCACAAAGCAATGTTATAGAAATGTCCTCAGAGTGGTACAAATAAAAAGCATCCAAAGAAAAAAAGCAATGAAACCATCACTATTACACTTTTTCAATGTCTATTTCATCAGAACTAAAATCAGGTGCCTGTATTCAGTTTAATCTCTGTTTTCAGATAGCTTGGTTTATTTCTATGGTCCTGAAATACAAGATTGGTAAATGAAGAGAGATTAATTCAGTACACCTTCACTAAGAAATCGTGATTAAGAAGTACTTCTAAGTTTAAAGCCTCTCTCTTCTGGAGCTTTAGATATTTCTATTCACATTACAATACTGCTGTAGTTGGGCCATTTCCACAGGCTCATCACAATTACATTTCTTTAGCTGTGGGATGAAAATCTCAGAAACCTGGCTGAATTGTAACACTGCTACTATTATTTTATCACTATTATTACAATGCCTCTAGATTTGCATAGCAATTCCTACAGAGTACCTTAATTACTTTTTCATCCATAGATTTCAGAATACGTTGTCTGAGAGGTTTTGGAGAAGAGCCACTGGATTGTGCTGGAGATCTATATTAAAAAGAAAAGTATTTAGGATATGTAAAAGCAATTCATTAATAAAAACTGTTGCCATACAAAGTTCCTCAGAAACAGAAAGGCAAATACCTTTACTCTCCAAGCTTTACCTAATTTTCTGCTTTCTTAAGGAACAACATACACTGTGACACCTCAAAAGAGCACAAAGAAAGCAAACCTACAGTTCCAGTTTCTGGTACTCATTTTGCAGTGTGTTTCCAATATTGAAGCTCTGCAGACACAGTATTATTATTATTTGTAATGCTAGTGATGATCATCTAAGCCACCATTCCACTTCCATCCTCCTGAATAGCATCTGGTTGACATTCAATATAGTTTTCCACATATTTCACACAAAATGTTTCCACTCTCTTACACATCATTATGTAAGTAGTTATATACATCAAGGAAAAAACTTAATGCCTAAAATGAAAAAAATTAATGATGCATATAAAGGGAAATTTTTTGGTCTTGAAATAGGAACTAATCTGTGCATTTGTAAGTAATTACTTCTCTGTTTAAGGTCATGGCACATCAATGTGTATATGAACACAGGTTCTTCAACAATAATTCATTATTTATTTAGCTCATTTTGTCCAATTTTTCACAAATAAAATTTGGTTTCTCTTGTTCTTTATTTTATTTATTTCTAGTTGTCTCTGGTGCAAAATTTCTGCCGTCCTTGCAATGGTTCTCCTATCTTAATTGCCAAAATACGTAGTTTCAAAATAGCTTCATCATGTTACTGTCTACACCATTGTTCTGGTTCATGAATCCTCTTTGTAACCAATAATTCTTTGTAACCCAATTCTCAGCATCCTGTTTTTTCAACAGCTGATGATTCCTCAGCGTGCATGGATAGGTGAGTTTCCATGTCAGTGCCCACAGAAATGGGTTTGAGTATCCTTCATAGAGTTTGTGCAGCCTAGAAATGCACTATATCAAAAAATCCATGTTACAAAAGTATCTTGAAAATACAGAAAATACTAATGAAGATTCAGAAAACTTTTGAAAACTCAAAACTGTTCTAAAATTGCTTTCCCTTTACACCTAATCTCACAGCAGACTGCATGTTGGTTATTTGCTTCGTGTAAGTAACGTCAATGCTTTGTCAGACTCAGATCCTTAAAAAAAAGCACAAAGTAACACAACAAAAGAAACCTCCTAATACTTACCTGAAGAGTGTCAAAACAGAGGTGATGCCACACAAATTTAAGTTTTCATTGTCACACAACAGGTCTGCTTTGTTCTGGGTAGGAGGACTGACAGCTTCTTCATCCAGAAGAACTAGCAAGACTTTTATAGTATCCCTGCCACAATAAGCAGTGCCATGATTTATGGAATGTAATTTTGGCTGTAAGTAAACAAAAAAGGAACATAAAACAGCAAAGTTCATCAAGCCAGACCAATAGCTCAGCTCCAAAATCAATCTACATCAGCATAAGGTGTGAGAATCCCCTCCTTCCCTTTTACAGTAAGTGGAATTTATGCAGAATTTCTCCATAGGAAAATTTTTCTCATCCCAAGTAGTTAGTGAAGTTTAGATCACTGACAGCTACATGTATGCACTTATGAGTAAGTCACACAAAAATATATAAATCTATGATGAAACTGTGCAGCAGAAATGAACCTCCTATTTTCTGGTACACAAACACATCCTGGTGAAGTCCAACCACTCTAACAATCTGCTAAAGCAGTTGGTTAAAAGCGAGATTTCCATCAAGATTTGACAATAGAGGTACGTGGCACAATTTCCTGTTGTTTGGGTGAATTCCCCATAATTTTCCACTAGAAGAATTCCTTACAGAAAAACCCAATCCGCATCTGGAAGTGCTCAATGCAACAGTCAGCAGTACAGATGGAGAAATCCATAGCCACTGTGGGACTTAAAATATCTTGAAAGTTGCTGTATTTTTCTTTAAAGGTACTAGGATTTCCACAGAGAAATTTAGGGCTTAATACACAGTGGTAGTTATTTAAAAACTATAGGCTGTCTTATTCACTAATACACAGAAACTCTGACTTTATTCTGAAGGGCAAGACAAGCAATGAACTGCATTTATCTAATCAGTTAACTGCTTTTAAACACAGTCTTGAAAAGATCAAATTCTATTTTTCTCTCTATTTGATTACATCAATTAGTGTATGTAGCTTTCAAGAAACCATAGCAACACATGTCAGTCAGCTACTATAAGTTATAATCAATAGCTAGAAATAGGAATTACAGAAATGGATGTTACTTGGCTTTACAGAATTGGCCTATTTCAGTACCATTTAATTTCCTCAAAATGTATTCTGAAACTCTTCAGTCATTACATCACCATAACAGATTTTTATTAAATGTCACATGTGCAATTGTGATTTTGTCTTAATGAAAGAAGTACAAACTTGGCATCATCTTGACTGATGATACACAAAGAAAAAAATAATCTTTAGAAATAAATTTCAGAAATCTCAAGTACTACAACACCAGAGGCTCACTCTATACTAACCATGGATAAAAGTCCAAGGCAAAATAAGAATTCTATGTAAGACAACAAAAAGATCTCAGTAAGACAAAAAGAAATCATGCTTATAAATGAGTCTAATCATGAATCAAATTATTTTTTTAAATAACATAGTTACAGCCAGATTCCAGTAGTAATTTTCTTAGGAAGAAATAAATCATAAATTCCTATTAATCACTTGTGCAGTCTTCAACACAAAATAGTGCTTCCTGCTGCATAAAGTAATAACTTCTCCTGGAGCTCCAGATTCTTATAATCCAGGTATTTGGAGAAAAACTGAGCAATGATGGAAGAAAACTGCCACTGCCAGGAGAAATGCAAATATTTTTCTAACAAAGTTACACTTTTCAGGTACATTTTATGAGGAAGCAGCTTTACCAGGAGCTAGTGGAGGCATAATTTTCACCTCTACACTTAAGACCGTATTTTAAATTTGCACTCAAAGAAATTATTTAATCTCTGGCATAAGAAAAACAGTCTAACATCCTATCAAACCAACTTAAATTGAGTATAGATCATTTTTTCTGAAAAACTACAGCATCAGGGGGCTTTCTTATTAAGTGAAATTAAAACAAAACCCCCAAGTTCTATGTAAGAATCAGAACAAAGCATTAATCTTTGCTATCCCGAGATCTTAATAGAACAATACAGATGCTCTAACTTCTAATAGAGTTTGAATTAATTTGGAAAACTTATTGGACTTTCTAAATTTTGCTTTCTCTCTTCATTACAAAAGGTAACCTGCCCCTCCATATGTTTAGTAATATCCACACCAAGTGGTTTCTCCACACCAAGTTCCACTAAAATATGCCATTTGGTATCACTATCTTAGCATTTGTCTAAGCTCCGTTTTTTACTCTTCAGCTCTCTGAATCATATGCTTAAGGACAATTGTTAAAACAGAAATTCGTCACAATTTTCACAGACTTCACTTAAATCAACAAAAAACTCCCCACACCAAAATAACAAACACGATGCTGACAAAGGCAAACAATTTACACACATGCTACCCCTCATCCCTCCACAATTACAAAAAAATAAGTCTCCCCACAGTTATTCTGTTCTCTACCAATGTTCAATCCACATTTGCCCATTACCTCTCTCAACTACTGTCCTTATTTCTAATTCCTCAGGCCCCACAAAGGACTGCGCTGGCTGACCCAGGTTAGCTGCCAGGTGCTCACTAAGCTGCTCTATCCTTCCTCCTCCTAAACAGAATAGGAAGTGAAAAACTCTTGAAAACATCCAATGGAAGTAAGATGAGGACAGATTGTTCACTTACAAATCATAAACAAAAGAGATCTGACTTTATGAAATTAATCTAATTTATTGACATTTAATCATAATGGGATCCCTTTCTTCTTCCCAGACTCAACTTCACTCTTAACTTTTCTAACTCCTTTCCTCAAATGGCACAGGGGGATGGGGAATGAGGATTGCAGCCAGTTTCTAACACTTGGTCTTTTCTGCTGCTTCTTCCTCAGACTCTTCCTCTTCTCCTCTATGTGGAATACCTCTCTGGTATTCATGAATACCTCTCAGCCCTTCATGAACTTCTCCACTGCAGGCCCTCCCCACATCATCAGGATACAACCATCTTTGCCATCTTCTGCCTCAACAAGGATCTGCTAAGCATTCCTACAGAGTCATCAGACTATGAATTTCTGGAGAACAGTAAGAAATAAATATTTTGGAAAAGCAACTCTGCATTTCTCTGAAGAATGAAGTTTTAATAAAATGCTTTTACCTGGCTTATAATAATCTACATGATTTTTTTTAAATTTTGTTGGTAACACAAGTAGCTAAATAAAGACAGACCTGATGATAGTTATAATTTTCTCATAGGGGAAAGAGAAACAAATAGAAGGGCATGAAAGAAAAACACAGCAATTCACTGAATAAATATTCATAGCAAAGAGGAAAATGAGGATGAAATATATATCCAACATACTCAGTGGAAACACACATTTAAACCAGACTAACTAGCCAATAGGGTCTGGCTGGTTTTACCTGTCTTAAAAAAGAAAAAGGATACTGAAGGTTTCATTAAAATTTGTTAAAAATCTTTTGCTACCACGGCATAAATCCAATGACTTCACAAAACAAAGCATCCTAACAATTCTAAACACATTGAAGGTGTCTATAATTTTTTTTAATTTGCTAGAAAAACAAATGACATTAGATACCTTATACATCAATTATGTAAAATAAAATAATAAAAGTTGGTTGATTTTTTCATCACAAAAAGATAATAATCTAAACCTGAGTAGATTCACAGTACATGAACCACAAATAGAAATCTTGTATTATGCCTTTAACACCTTACTTACAGAACTTTAAATATCCTGATTCCTTCCATGAAAACAAAGTCATTAATAGTTTCATTGCTGTCTTGAAACACTAAAATAGAAAAGCTTACACATTATTGTTTGGGGCTTTAATTCCCTTCCCACTCCACATTCGACCATGCTTTAGATTTCTTACATATTTAACCTTACACTTTGAAGGCCTTACCCTTTGAAATACTTCATGCTGTGCTAATTAAAAGCTGTGTATTTTTATAAAAATTACTGATACACGTTCTCAAATCTTAATTCTACTTTCATGAGGTTCTTTTGTTTGGAAATTTGTTATAGACTTACTGCTTTGAAACTATTGGCAAATCTGACACTTCTAAGTATCTAAATTTATAATAACTGCACAACCAAATTAAGCTTTGGAGAGTATTTTACTTGCAATTTTAAGGTAAGAAATTTCGTTTATGTAAATCAGTTCTTTGATATCCACAGTGTAATCCTCAAGTATAAGTCTTTCAAAATCACAGCGTAGAGAAAATGACTACTTTTATACAGTTAAGAAAAAGATTATACTCTATAGATAGTCTTTTAAAAATGTAAAAAGAAAAAAAAAAAAACCCGGGCAAAAGATTTTTGGTTTCTTATAAAGCTCAACAGCAAAAAGAACAAAAGAAGTCCCATTACCCGTGCTGGACTGACTCCAGTAGTGCTAGCAATCGAGGTTTCCTGTTGTGAATCGATAATATTTTTAATCTTCAAATCCAAGTCTTGTACAGCTTCCTCTACTGCCTGACAGAAAGGATCCCCATTGCTTCGGCCTTTTATCAAATGCATCTTCACTGTTGACAGAATTCGCCCCCCTGCAATTCTGAAAATAGGCACAGGGTCATCTCTACATTAATCTTGGCAACACTTGAGTACACCTATTAATGCTGAACATTGCCAGCCTTCCCTGCTCATCACAGAGAGCAGCTTTGATCTTTCAAATCAAACAGCAGCATAGATGTATTGTCCAACACAATAGTTTGCTAAAAAAAATAATTATAAGGTAATGAATTCAGCATTTAGTAATACTCTGAGCTGCAATACAAAACTAATGATACTCCTTAGAGGTTCAAAGAAAAGTACTTTCTTTAAACCTGTATGTACACTTTTGCTCAAACTGTTAAGTGTAAACAAAATTTTTCACTCAAATATGCATTCCTGTTTAATATCCCATTATATTTGAGTTTCTGTGCTTTGTGAAGGTGCTTCAAAATCCCAATCTTCTTTCAGTTTTATTTAAATAGACAGTGATTAGACCACATGAACTTCCCTATTAGTGATAAAGGCACACTCCATTAATCTCTTTCTTCAGCACGTGTCTTACCACTTTAATTAAGATTTTGTGAAAAAGAGAATAAGCTCCTTGAGTTAAAAGCTTAACAATTTTTTCCAGTACCTAAACAAAACACTATGTATGTTCTACCATTGCTTTGTCTTGGGCAAAGAAAATAAAGCATTACAAGAACCACTCAGCTCTCCTATATAATAATGCATGTCTTCCCCAAAGCTTTTTTTTTTTCCTAAATAAAGTTTGCAGTTCACATCAAAGCAGAAATGAGCTGTTTTGAGCTGTTATTGGCACCTACAATAGAATTTTTAGTACATTTATGATACTTCAAACAGTTCTGTCAATACCCCAAAGCAATGGCTTCATTACTTCAGGCCATATAACCAAGAGTGACATGACTCCATTTTCAGCTTCCTCCATCCTTACTGGTTTCCTTCATGCTCCTGCCAATTTGCCCTAAAAGGGGAACTTGCAACTGCAAATGAAGATTTATTTTGTACACATGACATTCTGAAGAGAAATTTTAGAATTCCAGTTGGGAGAACCTTCATCAAACGAAACTCTTCATGTCTACATTCATATAAAATACAAAATAATTGGGCAGAACTAGATAAAAATAGGAATTGAGTCAGAGGAAAAATAGTTTGTTTATATTGTTTCCACTTAAAATACATGGAGGGAACTGAGCCAGAGATCTTAATATTTTGGCTTATTCTGGCTGAAAAAGACTTCTCTAAAAACTTGAAAAAACTGACATTAACATGAAACTTTGGGGGGGAATTGTTGTTGGGTTTTTTTAACAGGAAAAAAACAAATATTCCCACACAATTCTCAACTTCAACTTTTACAGACTAAAGATTATACAATTCACATTAGATTTGCAGGCTTCATTAAACAGAAAAACTTATGCTTTGAAGAAATTTAAGCTCTGTGTATGCACTTGGCCAGAAGAAAAATCACCATGTCCAGTCTCTCTGTAGGCATGTCAAGACCCATCCAGATCTTGGAAATGACAGTTGAAAAAATATAAAAAAATCTATTGTACCACTTCTCCAAACCCCACAATTCAACCACAAAAGAATTAAAAGATCAAAGGGAGGGAAAAAATCCACTTCTAGTTGTCAAGAGGTAAGGGGAGAGAAATGTTGAAGAAGAGCTCTGTTTCAGAGATGCATATAGGAACTGCAGCCAAGTCTCCTGATGATTCTTGCCAGACTGATCTGTTTCCCTCAATCCTAAACTTATATTCTACAAAATCATATCCTCAAATGAGAAAAGTATTAAATGAGAACTAAACTTAGAACTTCAAGACAAATGAGCAGGTGAAGGGATTGACTTAAATTCCCTGTTAAAATCTGGTTCAGTTATCTGTCTACAGATCTGTTGAACATACTTGTAAATAAGTAATAAATTTATCATTTCCACACATTTATACCCATATGTATCCTGGAAGAAAAAAATATTATTATACAACTAGTACTGGGCACTAGCACAGTTAATTAACATAAGCATGCCCTTAATTTAAATGCTTTGCTCTGCATGTAACTCAATTATAGATTCATAGATTTTCAATGGGAAAAAATAACCTTTCACAAAAATATTTTGTTTATTTTTTTGCCTCTATTGCCCAATGCCAACTAAAGATATTGGCTAGTAGAAACAAAGTTCATTTAATCTCTTCTTCTCCCCATAGTCCTTTTCCAGAAAAGAGCTCCAGTCTCCTATCAGATATACAGAGTACTAACTGGAGCAAGGAAAAGTTTATTTATACTTCAACTAGAATTTATATCAACGGGCCAAGACATAAAAGGCTGATTCAATGTGTGTGGATTAGCACCGAAATGCCCTGCCACAGATCATGCCAATTTACACCAGAACACAAGTTGTGTTGTGTCATTAGACACATATATGTTTTTATATATATATATTCATATAGATATAACTATAAACTGCTGAATCTAGTTATTAGATCCATTTCTAGTGAGGTTCAAAAAGATTAAAAGCATGATGATAAAAGGACAATGTGGTAAAAAAGCACCTGGGGTGTTTGGGATTTTGTTCATTTTACAAAGATAACACCCTATTATAGATTGCTCTGTTATTACTCTTTCATAGATTTATATTACTCAGAAGAACAGTTGAACTTGAATGAACTTTAAAATAACTGATATAAAAAAATTTTTATAGGAATAAAAGTTGGAAACTGCTATCCACTTTGCAGCTCCTAACAGCTAGAAGGACCCCAAAGGTTTGTTTTAAATATGGAATTACATGGCATCTCTTAAGATAATTTTTACAGCAGAAAAAGAACTTTTGTTCTTTTTAATTCTGACAGAGAAGGAAAAAAATTATTTGAATTCAAGAATGAACTTGATATATTAAACAAAGCAATGCCATTTGTCTAAGGCAATTGGAAAGACCTTATCCCTTCTAGTCAGTGCTCCTGCTAAAAGGTTTTTTGTGATGTTCCATGCAGATCACAGGTTACTGAGATAAGCTACTCTAGGATAAAGTGCTTCAGTATCATCCCATCCACAGTCTAAACTGGAGGAGGACTCTCATCAAATCCAGTCATCAGTTGCCACTATGGCAGAGGTTTTAAAAGAGCATTTTCTTAAGAGCTAGTAATATGATACTGCTCAAAGTCACATGCAACATTTCTTTGTTCAAAAGGTATGAACTGAAAGAAAACTCAACCAGAAAATCAAATTCTTTTTCTATTATAAAAATAACCAAAGGAAATTCATCAGTGTTATTATAAATGGAAGAAAAACCCAAACACTTTAGAAACAACCACATCCCACCATCCAACAGAATGTTTAAACACAGATGCCTGAAGTAAGTAGTACAGTGGCAGTTGTCAAATGAATGCATCCAGTCAAGTTCAAATGTGACCATTAGCATAGCATGAAAATTCACAACTATTTTTGACCAACTGACAGGAGTGGCTTACCTTCTCCAGCTCTTTGAGCACTAAAACAGTTGACAGCTCAAGCAGAATTCACCTATCTCATAGCTAGAGAACAAAAAATGTCTACGCATAGATTTAATGAATCATATGTTAAAAATCCATTATTTGCACCAGGGCTTCTAAAGAGTTTAAAAAAAATAGTGCAGTGTAAAAACTCCACTTGTTACACAGGCACTGGCAAATCTGATCTTGTGTTACTGGTTCTTCTACCAAAAATATTGACATTTCTTGTGCCCCCTAGAACCCTTTTTGCCTTACATTGTCTGAGTCTCAACCTTACCTTTCTCTATCTCATTTTCCTTATCAAACCGTCTTTCCTTATGTAGAAGTAACTAATTTATAAGAAACTAATAGCACACTTTGTCTATTTTGTTGTTACTGAGCTTGTCATATAAACAAGCTCCTCTGCTGACCAAAAATCTAAATTACAATGGCAAGAGCTCTCCCTCCAGAACTCAGGCCTTAGTGTGAAAAGTTATGATGCAGGAGCACTTTTATTTACTTTCTGAAAATACATCTTTTTTGGAAAAGATTAAAATAGCAAAAACAAAGAAAAAAATGTTGAGGATATGGACAATATTCAAAACCTGATAAAAAGCAGAGTCCTGAAGTCTATTCCAAGAACAGAAAAGAATATTTCAAAATTCTATTATACTAAGGTCAACATTGTTATTCATTCATTTCAACTTCAACACAGGTAAAAACTAGATAACATATACACAGCAATCTGACTTAGGTAGTGGGAACAAGTGTCTTAAAAGAAATCACAAACACCCAGTAATCACAGGGTTGGAGGAGATCACAGCCTTCTCCTTTGTTACGGATTTAAAAGATGCTTTAGAACTTGACAGCAACTGCTCAGTTCTCCAATTTTTTAATTTAGAGCTATAGAAAGAGAGCAGCAGTAATTCCATTCTCAAACACAAAGCAGCAAGATACCGACTAGAGTTCCATCTACCTAGGTAGAAGAATGGGACAAAATGTGTCTAGGAAGAAATACTATACAAATGTTTCTAAAGGAGCACTAACTGTGCTTTTAAAGCAAATCTAAAGGCTTATTTCTTATAAGCATAATTTTTTTAAAAATTAGTAGTTCATGTTCATTTAGATTTCAAAATTTCAACAATAAAATCCTATCACAGATATGATTTTATGTTTATCAACATAAAATCATAGATTTTAAATGTATCTGTAAAGGAAAAAACTATATCAAAGCACTCACAGTACTTAAAAATTCCACTTCCAAAAATGTATGTATGATTATTAATCTAATTTTCCAACAGATATCAAAATTAAGTGAAGACTCTTCCTTAGAGCCTTTGGAGCTTCACAGATCATTATATCTATAACAAAAACACAGCAAAAAAAGAAACCTGTTGCAGAGTATTTTTCCATCTTGCTGCTGCTACTTTTGCTGTATTGGCTAAAATTTCTCGTTCAGCTCGTTGGAAGAAATTAGAGCGACTCTTCAAATTCTCCATCCCAAGCTTTGCTACTCAAGTCTGGTGACAAAGTTGCTCTAAAAGTAAACAGTTTTCTTCCTAGAATAAGTCTTGATGAGCAG